AATATCAGGATTTTCAAAAATCCGGCTCCATATGATTCGTTATACATCAGTTCTGTTAACAACTATAGAAAGTGCGTAAATCATTAACTGAAAAGGACAGAGATATTAAATTTTACCCTTGAAATGGTGTTATAGTACTTTAATGGAGCCAGGGTAAAAACTGGACGATAGGCGTTGACGCGCCCACTTTTAGGTGAAAACACATATTCTCGAGATATATCGAGTTGTATCTTTGAGTTCTTTTACAGTGCCAAGGGTTCGGTTGCATCTGAACTTAGCGCTTCCTTACTTGATTATTTGTGTACTGAAAAGTGAAAGTATCAAATGAAATTTTGGGTTATATTCTACGGGAAGAAGGCACGGTTGCAGTTCGATTTCGCCCATTTTCGAACATTTTGGAAAATGATGTCGATAATTCTAAGAACATGATTCAAGAACAGGCTTGAAGCATTACTACAGTTATGAAACAAAAAAAAAATTATTATAAAAACCTAGCAGTTGTGGCACTTGTGGGCTAAAATTTTTTAAAATGTAGGCGCTTATCTTCTCGACCGTTACAGCTCATCAGTTGCTCAAAGACGGACACAGTGATAAGAACTTACTGTCATAAAAATGCTTTATTTTATTATTTGGGAGTAATCGTAAAAATTTCAGTTATATTCAATGTAAAACCACATAATTTTCAAAGAGCATTGTTCATTTCATTTCATAAAAATTCCACACATATTGATCAAATATGGCTGATATCGGTGGACTAGGTCCTGAGATATGGGATTTCACCGAAATGTGGGCGGTGCCCACGCCCATCGTAAACTTTGGACCGTGCGGCCTACAAAGTCCTATTTTATAACCCTAGGTGCAATCTTATGTTCTTGATGTATTCAATACACTTGATTTCCTTTGTGCACGGTGAACTGTGATAGTAATTTAGTCGTGTAAAAAAACAGATAAAACCAAATTATGACCAATTTAAAAAAGATCCGTGTAGTAAAGTTATGGGGGAGCACGGTGTGGCTCGATTTGTGGTTGTGGTTGGCCGTAAGAAAACGGACGGCGCAAATGATTCCACACAAACATTAAATATAAAACAATCGTTTTCATATAATAAATATAGATAGATAGATAGATATATTTTTATTTCATGTACAATAAATATACAGGAAACAAGAGAAAAAAAAACTGTACTATCTCGAGGCTATAATAAATATAACTTTAATATAATATAACAAGGAGGATGGAGTCATGTGTATTCTTGGAAGTGGTCAGAAACGATTCTTTTACATATGACTCAAGCAACTCACGACTTCCGGT